GCTAGAAAGAAAGCGAGGCTCAGCCACAGTCTCATGTTGCTGATGCTGGAGGGTTTTCTGGGGGGGAACTGCACGGACACCTGGACTTGCCCCTCCTCCCTTCTCACATGGCGGGGTCCTGGAGATGACAGGGTTTCTATAGCGCACCGAGGCACTGAATTTGCATCTCCTCCTCTTTATAAGACACATCTTGGACCTGAGCCCTGAACAAACTCAGCATCCCGCAGGTGGGTGTAGTGGGAAAGGGTTGTGTGAGTAAAGGAGAAGAGTAAGAACTCCACCCACAAAATCATTTCTGCAGTGTTCTCTACAATTTTTGGAGAGAAAAGTCCCTATTGATTGTTCACCTTCCACTAACTCCTGTCTGCTTGTCCCTCTGCTCTTCTGAGACCCTTGGAGCAGTGTGACCTGTCGGGGAACATGAGCCTGGCACTTGAGAATCTGGCAGTTTGTTCCTGGCTCTGCTACTCGTAGGATGGGTGACCTTGGACAAGAGACTTACACTCTCTGTGCCTCAATTTGTATGTCTCTAAAATGGGGGAAATGATATTAACCCTCCTTTGTCAGGGCTTTGAGATCTAGGTATGGAGACCACTATGGAATAGCTCGGGGTTGTTGGTTCAGCTAGAAGAATTAGAGAAAGTTTATTGAACTCCTTCGAGCAATGCTGGACTAGAAGACAGAATTATTATTATTATTCTACCAGCACCTTAACATTAGTGGGGATTTGGGGGTCAGGATCCCCTCTGTTGCTGTGACAGTCGTAGCCCCAGAGGCGCCAGGGTGCGGGGCGTTGCTCTGTCAGGCAGTTAGTGTTATCTCTTGGGTGAGAGGCAGTGTGCTCCGATGCCGGCTCCGTTCCCTTTAGGGGTGGGCGACCCTTTGCAGAGGTTGGTTTGTAAAATCCGAGAGCTGGGGCTGGGATACTGAAGGGTCCTTAAGGGAGAGAGCAGCTCACTGGGTCTCTGAGCAGCACCATGGGCTCTATACGGCAGGAGAAGATTTGTCCCATGTCAATGAATCATAGAGAAATACCTTAAGACCTGCTAGTATTTGTGTGCACCAGGCGGGTTAGACACAGTGTAAGGTGCCAGTCACGCCCTGTTCCCTACGTCTGTCTGGAATGGTCACTGCCAACAAGAGCAGGAAGCTCCGTTTTAGTTCTCTCCTTGCGTTCTGCTCTCTCTATTTCTTTTCCCTCGTGTATGTTTTCTGGGGTGTGAGTGTGGTTATTTAAGCTCGAATTGTGTGTGTGTAAGGGGTGTGTGTGTATGTGTGTGTACGGGGTGTGCGTGTGTGGGGGGAGAGGGGTGTTCTAGGATTGACACAATAGGGCTTATAGCAGGGATTTGAGTATCCTGAGTCCCAGAGAGTGTCCTAACCCCTGGGCTGTAGAGTGAGTCGCTTTCCTGCTCTCTCTGGCCCAGTACATATCACCAGCCAGGCACCTAGGGGATTTCGGTGCCTACAGGGTGCAGGCTTTGAGGATCTCGGTGACATGTTCAATTTAGGCACATAAGGCAGCAGTTAGGTGTTGAATTCCCTTTGTGGACCGAGCCCTGAACACACATTGAAAGCCCCTGGCAGGTGGCTGTCCAGCGCTCCTAGGCTCCGTCCGGAATTCACACCTATCTGCCCAGGCTGCGGTTTTCTAAAGCTCCCGAGGGATTATAATAGGAACGAGGTGCCAATATCTCTAGGGCAGCTTGGAAACCCTCCGCCTGGCTGTCAGAGGGGGGTTAATTATCATGTTTTCCTACAATTTAATGTTGGTTCTCTCAGCCTGGGCTATTGGGAGGTGCGGGATGGGAGGGTGAGGAAAGGCGGGGAGGAGTGGAGTGAGGGGCACAGAGTGTATTAGGGGAAAGGGGAAGTTGCGGGCTGGTCTCTGCTAACAGTGCGGTTAGTCAGTGTCTGCATCTGTGTGTGTGAGAGTCACAGACAGGCAGCTGAGGACAGGAGTTTTCTCGCTCACTGTCTCCCCCCTGCGAGATGTAGAACTCCAGCGCCCCCCAGCGGAGAGTTTGACCTTAGACAGCGAGGGCAGGTTTTTGTCTGAGCTCAGCCCGGCTTCCCCTCACTGTGTGTCCCGCACAGTGATACCGGGCGGTGTCCTCGGGCTTCAGGCCGGTCATTTGCAGATACAGCAGGTTGTTGGAGTTGTCTCTGGAGATGGTGAATCGGCCTTTCACTGAGTCTGCGTAAAACTGTTGGCTCCCATCAGTGTAAATGCGTGAGACCCACTCCAGCCCCTTCCCGGGAGCCTGTCGGACCCAGCTCATATCGTAGCTGCTGAAGGTGAAGCCGGAGGCTTTGCAGGAGAGGCGGAGAGAGTCTCCGGGCTTTTTCACATCCCCTCCGGACTCCACCAGCTGCACCTGGGACCGGACACCTGGGAATAGAAACATAATGTAATTCACATTAGTATTAAGAGTAACAATAGACTGTTCCCCTGACCACCAATAGGTGTGAGGGGAGAAAATACCTTCCAAAGCCACTGCAAGGAACACTACATGGAACCAAAGCCTCATTGTCCCGGGTATTGAAGGGGAAAGTTCTCAGGGGACTGGCTGGTCACTGCACAGACCCAGGGGACTGCGGATTGTGTCTCCGGGTGCAGCCTGGGCAGGGAGAGGCACAGATTTAAACAGGAAACTGTCCCCCTGATTTGCATATCCCACCTCTTATAAGACACACAAACTCCTTCCCTGGCTGATCTCATTTTTTGCTCTCCGATTCCAGGAGAAGGGGGTAAACGTGTGTAGCGCTCTGACCCAAATCCCACTGAAACCCCAGCGGGATTTCTGAGTGGCTTGGAGCTACATCGGATCCGGTCCCACGTGTTTGTGTGGAGTCCAGCACAATGGGAACCCGGTCCTGATGGACTCCGGAGAGGGGCTGTCAGAGCAGAATCAGAGGAAGACGGGAGTGAGCAGAAAAGAGAGAAAGCAAGAAAGGAAGCTGCAGTCCTTTGAATCATCATCATCATCTTCAGTGCAGAATGACCCCTGCTGTGTTAGTGGGGCACTGAGGTAGTGGGGCTGTGATGTCTTTCACAACACGGTTTATACGTCTAGGATACTCAAAGGAGCCCCAGGGTGTCGGGTTTCGGGTAACTAACTGATTTGGGGACTTAAATCCTAATCACTGTCTCTGGGATTTAGGCTCCGAAATTTAAGTCACTATCGAAAGTTGGATTTGGGCTCCCAGCTCACTTAAACTGTTCCCAATTGGCACAATGGGAATTATGTTTCTCTACTTTAAGATTCACTGATGAATCCTAAATGCAGCGTTGATGAGGGGCCTTACAATACCCAGATTGAATTAGCCAAGTGGAGAATAGACGCTATTAATAGGCAACTGGACATGGCAGCTGTCTCTATTTCAGCTATTTCACCCTGGTTCCCCCTCACTGCAAACACTTGTGGGTATGCCAGATATTCTTGTGGTTTGGTCTTTTCCTTGGGCAGATTCCTACACAGCTGAATTCTGGCTGATCCACCAGGTGTGTAGGAAGGATCCTGAAATTACTCGGGAAGCAAAACCAAACCTTTAACTAGTCCCTCAGTGCTTGTGCTTATCCATTGCAGTGCAGTCTTTAATTGTTCAGGACAGACAAGGCATTGCAGATGCACCATTCAGCATTCTGCAGGTCTGTGCAACTAGTGACAAAATTATGGTGTGCAAAATTCTAGGGAGGTTCCACCACGAGTTTTAAGAAGATAAGAACGGCCAGACTGGGTCAGACCAAAGGTCCATCCAGCCCAGTATCCTGTCTTCCGACAGCGACCAAGGCCAGGTGCCCCAGAGGGAATGAACAGAACAGGGAATCATCAAGTGATCCATCCCCTGTCGCCCATTCCCAGCTTCTGTCAAACAGGCTCTTTAAATAAGCTCTCTGGCTGTCAGGGTTCCCTCCCCACTCTGAACTCTGGGGTGCAGATGTGGGGACTCACATGAAAGACCCCCTAAGCTTATAAATACCAGCTTAGGTTAAAAACTTCCCCAAGGCACAAATCCTTTCCTTGTCCTTGGACGGTATTGCTGCCACTACCAAGTGATTTAGACAAAAATTCAGGAAAAGGGGCCACTTGGAGTTCTTATTTCCCCAAAATATCCCCCCAAGTCCCTTCACTCCCTTTCCTGGGGAGGCTTGAGAATAATACACTAACCAATTGCCTTTAATAAAAGTATAGACCAGACCCTTTATTTTTAGGACACTAAAATCAATCAGGTTCTTAAAAGAAGAACTTTATTATAAAGAAAAAAAGTAAAAGAAGCACTTCTGTAAAATCAGGATGGAAGGTAATTTTACAGAGTGATAAAAAGATTTAAAACACAGAGGATTCCCCTCTAGGCTCAACTTCAAAGTTACAAAAACAGGAATAAAACTCCCTCTTAGCATAGGGAAAAATCACAAGCTAAAACAAAAGATAATCTAATGCATTTCCTTGCTATTACTTACTATTTCTGTAATTTTAGATGTAGCATTTCAGTAGGAGCTGGATTACCTGCTTGGTCTCTCTCTCTCTAACCAGAGGGAACAACAAAGAGAGCACAAACAAAACCTCCCCCCTCCCCCAGATTTGAAAGTATCTTCTTTCCTATTGGTCCCAGGTGACAGCCAGGTTATTTGAGCTTCTTAACCCCTTACAGGTAAAGGAGGGATTTTATGCTACCCTTAGCTGTATGTTTATGACACTGCATTTCTTCCTCTTCGTTCATGTTCACAAGGCGGGTTGAAGGGAAGAAAGCTAATGATCAATAGCAACTGAGGCGGATTCTATTTCTGCATTGCTGTCCACTAAGTAAAGTCCTCTCTATTCTCTCAACATAGTGAGTCTTTAACTGCCAATGTCCATTTTGAGATGACTGAGCCCAGATACAATTGGCGGTTTCTTATTCTATTTCCCGGTGTCTCAGCTGCTCTGCTGTGTCAGTGCCTGCTGCTCTCTGCTGGCGCCGAGAGCTGTTTGGATTTGAGGAGGAGGTTTTTGTATTCACTGCAGTTGATTTCTGATCACTGTGTCTCTCGCACAGTAATACCGGGCGATGTCTTCTGCTTTCAGGCTGTTCATTTGCAGATACACTGTGCTGTTGTAGTCGTCTCTGGAGATGGTGAATCGCCCTTTAACCGCATCACTGTAAAACGTACTGTGGCTATTAGCAGTGTTGTATATGCGTGATACCCACTCCAGGCCCTTCCCGGGCACCTGATGGACCCAGCTCATGTGGTAGCTGGTGAAGGTGAACCTGGAGGCTTTGCAGGAGAGGCGTAGAGATCCCCCGGGCTTCTGAATTCCACCTCCGGACTCCACCAGAAGAACCTGGCACCGCACATCTGGGGGGGGGGGAAGAAGAAGAAAAAACTATTAAGAATCACGTTAATACAAGACCTGAGCCAAAGCTCACAGAAGCCATTGGGAAGATGCCCATTCACTTCACTGCGCTTTGGGTTGGGGCAAGAACGTACAACCTTCCCTGGAGTCTCCCACCGATGTTGGGGGTGGGGGAGGGGAGAATTACCCGGAAGGGCCGCTAGAGCCAAGAGAAGATTCAGCCACAATATCATGCTGCTGGCGCTGGAGGGGTTTCCAGTAGTAACTGCAAAGAAACCAAGATCTTGGCCTGCTCCCTTTTCACACTCTGCCGTCCAGGAAAACACCAGATTTATACAGGGCCTCAAAACAGTGAATTTTCATCTCCCCTCTTTAAAAATCACACCCCAGACTGCAACCCTCATTAAACTCTGCCCTCCCGGAGACGGGTTCGGAGGAAGAAGATATTCGGCGGGAGAAGGAGACTTAGAGTCTCTCTGATAGGCTCATTTCTGCAGTGATCTCTACAGGAATTCTCGCTGCCTCTGACAGACAAGATGCACCATTGAGTGTTCACCTGCCGCTGAGCTCTGTCTGTTCTTGGTTTGTGAGTTCCTGGCCACTGTGTGTCCTAGTGCATAGAGCACTAGGCTGGGCCATGGGACACTGGCTGTTTATTCCTGGGTCTGCTGGGTTGCCTTGGATACGTCACTTCTCGCTGTAAAATTGGGATAGAGACCCTGGCCCTCCTTTGTGAAGAGCTCTGAGATCTCCTGATGGAAATTGCTATATAAACACTAGGGGTTAGTACTATTACTAATGTCTGAAAACGTCTTTTTCTTCTTCTATACGAAGCAGGCAAGTCTTTGAAACCCGGAGGGCTGGAACAATTTGTATAGTGCGGGTGCTGAGAGACACTGAACCAAACTGGAAACCCTGAATACGATGGAAACCACTTCAGCCAGGGTTGGAGCAACACCCCTAGTTCCACCACCTATGTTTGAAACGCTTCCTTGCAATGCCAGCTATTACTGCACCCGGGGGATACACACGCACACACCAGGATGCACAGTGATGCAGTGCAGCAGGGCAGGCTTTGTCATCCCGTTACCAGAACGCCTGGGTTCTATTTCTTCCCAGCTACAGGAGGAGTCTAGGAATCTGGAGTTTCTTCCTGGAACGAGAAGACACAAATGACTAGAGCAGGAAATCGGGATTTAGGACGCCAGGGTTCTATTCTCAGCCTCGGGAGTTTTGATTTTCAGGTGGTCCAAGATTTAGTTCAAAAGTTCTTGTAAACTGCTTTACAAGTAGTGGGGGGGCGGGAAGAATGAATTTAGGGAAGTCTTTGATCCTTGATCTCACAATGGTTCATTTGAGTTTAATGAACAGGATGTAACGACTTCTTACGGAAGCTTCCTTCGTTTGAAGGGTTACTTTTAGTCGCAGGGGTACATACAATGCAAATGTTTGCTGTCAGGGTACACCAGGGTGCACATAAATGAAAACAGTGCAGGGAACATCCTACAAACATTTCATGAAGTCGAAACATTAAACCCATTCTTATGCACTGAGCCTCGAACAACGTCTGTTGTGCTGGTGCTCGCACACAGGTAAACGAGGCTGGCTCCAGCTATGCACTTTTAAGGCCTGGGGGCCTTGGCATGAGCTGGCACTTGGTCTGCCAGCATCACACTGGGCATCTTCCCTTCCGGACTGG